GCCAGCTCCGATCCCGAGGCAGGCCCGCCGGCTACGGGGCCAGGGGTGCTGGACAGCTTGCACTTTACCCACGTGAAACTGCCGTCTGTTGGCCAGATCCAGTCTCTGAACTTTTATGTTGGTAACCCTGGGCTAATGAGGAAGATGTGCGTGTTTGCACATCTAGCTGTGCAACAGAGAAAGAGCAAAGCACTGCTGTCCACCTTAGCCAGGAAAATGGAGCCACATTTTGGCTCGTCTTGGTAATAACACATGTGCCCTCTGGTGAGAGCTAGCAACCAGGCGGCTGGCAGCTGATGGACTCTGCCTCGCGGCCAGACCCGCAGCCACCCATGCCTGCAGAAAAGAACACTTAGTTCATACAAAGGTCAAAAATCAACAATGGTCTGGGTGAGGGGCCAGTGTGAAAGAACAAAACAGCTTGTCCTTGTCTCGTCAAAGGCTATGCTGGGCATGTTGGCTCTAGATAAAGCACTCTGGCGGAAATCAGAAATGTATTACCTCGTTTTACCCCTATCCTTAACAAGGGCCCAGTTATGCCTTGGCGATTTCAAATTCCACCCAGAATTCTTTCATTTACTAAAAGCCAATCTCACTCATTCTTCCCGGGCAGGGAGTAACATGCCAAAGGTAACATGAATGGGAATCTGGGCGGCCACATTTACTAGGAAATTAGTAATGGAGCAATCTGTATTTTTAGAGATTGGACTTGCCAAACGTGTGGCATTTTGGACATTGTTTTATTTTTAATTTTTTTCTTAATGTTTATTTTTGAGAAAGAGAGTGCAAACAGGGGAGGAGCAGAGAGAGGGAGACACAGAATCCAAAGCAGACTCTAGGCTCCGAGCTGTCAGCACAGAGCCTGATGCGAGACTTGAACCCATGAACCATGAGATCATGACCTGAGCTGAAGTCAGACACTTAACTGACTGAGCCACCCAGCCGCCCCAATAAAATTAAGTTTTGAGGGGCGCCTGGGTGGCGCAGTCGGTTAAGCGTCCGACTTCAGCCAGGTCACGATCTCGCGGTCCGTGAGTTCGAGCCCCGCGTCGGGCTCTGGGCTGATGGCTCAGAGCCTGGAGCCTGTTTCCGATTCTGTGTCTCCCTCTCTCTCTGCCCCTCCCCCGTTCATGCTCTGTCTCTCTCTGTCCCAAAAATAAATAAAAAACGTTGAAAAAAAAAAAAAATTAAGTTTTGACCAGTGATGCCTACTTTGTTAAGCCTATTTTCTATGATTAAAAAAATCTGTATAGTTAGATTAATAAGTTTTCACAAAGTTGGGGCACTTGCGTGGCTCAGTCAGTTAAGCATCTGACTTTGGCTCAGATCATGATCTTGCAGTTTGTGGGTTTGAGCCCCACATTGGGCTCCGCACTGTCACCTTAGTAATTCTCTCTCTCCTTCTCTCTCTGCCCCTCCCCTACTTGCACTCTCTCTTTCAAAGTAAATAAACTTAAAAGTTTTCACAAAGCTTTCTTGAAGAAGTTTTCACAAAGCTTTGCAAGGAGAGAGCTTTGTAAGGGAATGACAATGTTTCAGGGATATGCCTGAAAAGAACATTCACTTAATATGTAAAACAAAGGAGAAAAGTGTTTTTTCACATAACTTCTCATTAATTTAGACCAGTAGTAATGAGTCTCAAATAACACACTAGTGAGTCTGAATCATTTAGGGAGGAGGCCCCCAAACTTAAAACTTTCCTAAATAAAACCTGCAACCTCATTAATATGAGGCACTGAGGTCAGGGTGTACTGGGTTAGGATTTTATTAGCTCGTGTTTGGTTGTCTGTCACGCAGCCAGCACAGAATTATGGTACCAAAGAGCAAGATGTTTTCTGTTTTGTAAGATAACCCAAATATACCCTTAAATTGGTATCCTGAAATCACTGTTCAAAAAAGAAGAAAAAAAAAAAAAGCTCATTCCTTTAGTAAATCACTGAAGACACTCTTCCTGTCCCTTAAACTCAAGGTGCTTGAATGACACAATCAGACACCACTGTAGTTTATTTTGGTGTAATAGTTAATTATGCTAAGATAAAGTTCATCACAACCTGAAAAATGTACTCAACCCAGGACTTGATATGGCCTGCCCCTTCTCAAGGCCCGGCCCATTGATACTCAACTAATAACATCACTAGGGAATGTATGAGAAGACAAACACACTATTATTTACAGATCTTCTTGTCCAACCCTACTCAGAATACACCCTTGATACTTAATGGTGAAAGAAAATGCTTTCCTCTTTAGATTGGGAACAAAAAACAGTCATAGACAGGAACTGAAGTGTTAAAACTTCTCAGGCAACATGATCCAACACAGAAAATCCTAAGGAATCTATAAAAACGCTGTCAAACTCATATGTAAGTTAAACATGGTCCCAGGATACAAGGTCAACTGACAAAATTGCATTCCATTTCTATATACTAGTAAGTAATAAGTGGGAATTACAATGCAGAAAGTAGCCCTTACAATATCATCAAAACTGTAACACATTTAGAAATAAACATGACAAGGGGCGCCTGGGTAGCTCAGTCAGTTAAGCATCCGACTTCAGCTCAGGTCATGATCTCACAGTCTGTGAGTTCAAGCCCCACGTCGGGCTCTGTGCTGACAGCTCAGAGCCTGGAGCCTGCTTCAGATTCTGTGTCTCCCTCTCTCTCTGCCCCTCCCCTGCTCATGATCTGTCTCTCTCTGTCTCAAAAATAAATAAAAAACATTTAAAAAAAATTAAAAAAAAATAAACGTGACAAAATACATATATGATCTGTACACGAAAACTACGTATAATGTTAACTTTGACAGTTGCTTTCTTTTCTGTAATCCAAGTGTGTAACTTAAACTTTGATGAGACACCCATTGCAAAGACAACCATCTCAGACAAACACAGTGCCAGCTTCACCAGTAGATTCAAGAGCCAGGCTACTCCCTCTCACGGACAGTCCTTTGTTTTCGAGGTTTTGGTTTATGTCTCTAACTGACCACTTCATTTTTCTCTCCGAGTACTTTAAAATCCTGCTCTTATGTTTTAAATTCACCAGTAAAGTGTGAGCCCACGAAATCCTAGATCCCACCCTTGACCTCGGAGTCCCTTGCCCACATGCGCTCCTTGTACCCAAGACCTGGCTGTTTGGCCCCAGGGGTGCTATGTAATTTCCAGGTCTTATAATTAGCAAACCTTTATTTTCTCAAAGGTTGCTCATGGTTCTTGCTGAAGGACATCTTGCAATCGTAATAGGATTCACAAGAGCCAGTCCAACCATAACACTGGTTATTCACAGGCTGGGGCAGGCACTATTACTACCAAACATTGCTGAGAAAAATTAAAGACCTAAATAAATGGAGAGATGTATTATGTTCACAGAATGCCTTAAGATGGCAATTCCCCCAAATCGATCCACAGATTAAACAGTCATAATACGAATTCCAGGAAGGGTTTTTAGAGTAGAAATCAACAAGCTGCTTCTAAAATTTACACAGAAATGCAAAGGACCTAGAACCGCCAAAACAAATTTAGAAAAGAACAAATCTGGAGGACTAACACAGTTAGTCCTGAGCTGAAATCAAAAGTTGGATGCTTAACCGACTAAGCCACCCAGGCTCCCCCAACTTGTAATGTTTTTAAAAGTTAATATTTTAAAATGTTGAAACTCAATCTGCTGTGACAGGACATTCAGGTCAACTACTTTTCTGTGAGGTACAATTTTTGTTTGCTATTCTAGATCACTGCGTTTTAACTCTGTTTGGATGGCCTATGAATATATAATAAACCCTATATTGCCAACAGCTGAGTAAGGAAAAATTAAACACATATTTTGGATTTATATAAAAGCATTTAATACATTGATAAAAAGGATAGTATTAAAAGACTGATCTCAATGATGAAGTGTATCTACAATGCAAGCAACTAAGTCCCCCTTCTGGCCCACCCACCCCTTCTTATCCCTGAATACTTGAAGAAACATACACACAAAAGACCTCAAATGAAAGCTCCCCCAAGATCTAGAGTAACTGAGAAGTATTGAAGTGATATTTTTAAATTATTTAAAAATTAAAATCAAATTATAAAAAAGGAAGGCATTCAGCTCACCATCAACCTTTACAAGAATATTACAGTACTTCTGTACAATATACCATACACAAGGGAACGGGGACTCTAATGGCACCCTAGGTTCAAACAGGACCGTGTGTCTTTCATAGGAAGGGGATTGCTCAAGGAGCAGCCTGGAGTTCAAGTCAGCAGCCACTCAGTTGTGACCTTCTTCAAATACATAACTCTGTTTCAAGCTTATGGGACAAACAAAATCTACTCTAAATGAGCCATTAAAAACCATTGTTTTGAGTACTACAATATTGTAAAAGCACAGAGAACCATCTAGATATGAATTAAATGCCACATGATTCAGTGAATTAATCAATTTGAAAAAACAAGAAAGAGGTAACAACAGAAATGAAAGAAGGAACCTGGCCTTAATATCAATATATCAAGACTATGTCAATGGTGACTATAATTATCTATATGGTAAAGATAATTTATTTTTTCTAGGAAACATTATTTGTAGAATTTGAGTCCTGAAAGATACACTTCAAAATCATTTACTCCAAGTCCCCTCATTTTCCAGATGGGAAAACTGAAGCCTGGAAGCTAAATTAATTCTTTTGCCTCTGTGCATCCATGCAAATATTAGAACCTTATTTCGGTAAAGAAGCAACACTGGACGCTCTATAGCCCAAGACACATAGTTTCTGGGCAAAGAATTTACATGAATGGAGCCATCAGTAGTGAGAACAGGGAAGACGATGGTTTTTTGATTTACCAATGAAAAGCCAGCGTTAAATTTGGCGTTAAGCCAACCCGAAACAAAATAGGTAGGCAGAACTTGTAGGCGTAACACATGTTTGGACTGTGCCAATCAGAACCTGGGTGATACAGAGCCAACACCCTTGCCCCTCCAGACCCACAAGAAGTAACATAGGTCGTGGGTACCTGTTTGAAGTTAGGGCTATTTAAGGCTATTCAGAAATTTGGCATGTTCTTCTCCTCTTGGTAACAGGGTTTCGCCTCCTATCTTTGGGCCTGTTTTTTCCTAGAAAAATGAAAACAGTTTAGTAAAAAAAAAAAAAAAAAATGGGTCAACATTATTTGCATGGGTCACTAAAATCGGTCACCTTGCAAATGACCTACCTTTAGCATTCCATCTCGTTCCCATTTGAAGAGGCCACAATTACTGAAACAAGAAAAGATAGGATTTACTCAGTGGTGAGGCACAGGCAGATACATAGAGACAATGGGGTTCGCTGCACTCACAGGAAGAGTATCTGCCATTCAAACAAGCTGATCAAGGTAACACTCATAATTATGGGCTAAGTTCTAAAGCTATTGAAAATACACACTCCGAAGATTTGAGAAACAGCCTTCAAATCTATAAAAAGCTAGAGCTTTCAGAGATGGAACATCAAATGAAAGGAGAACAGCATATGTTCACTGCAGGTGATGAGCACAAGCTTGGTTTCTCCTGATGGGCATCGGGAAGAGACTCAGAAGAGGAAGCTAGCCCTCTGACACCATACAGTCTAGAGCTTTCCCCGTCCCCTTTTCTGGAACTAAAAGTTTGTGATAAGAAACTTCTTATTGTCCTTCTGGTCTGGACAATCCTTCCCCCTTTTTCAAACCTAAAGATGTGTACTCTCTTATTGTTCAAAGGGCCTAGAGACACTTGTTCTCATTTTTTTTAACATGGTGAGGGAGCCCAACTCTGAGAAGAGATGAGGCTACTACAGAGAAAACTTATTTAAAACAAATATTTTTAAATATTTATTTATTTTTGAGAGAGAAAGAGAGAGAGAGAGAGAGAGAGAGAGCCAGCAAGTGGGGGAAGGGGGAGAGAGACACACACACACAGAATCTGAAGCCGGCTCCAAGTTCTGAGCTGTCAGCACAGCCCCCAACACGGGGCTCGAACCTACAGGTGGTGAGATCATGACCTGAGCTGAAGTCAGACGCTTAACTGAGCCACCCAGGCGCCCCCAAAAAACTTATTTTTATACAAAGTTCACTCTGCTGAAACAGGCAAAACAAATACAATCAACTCATGGAAATATGGCTTCCGGTACCCTTGGATTTGAGATGCTCTAGGGCATAGGGATTGCCCTATACCTGCCCCATTCTTCCTCCTGAAAATCTAGACTGTGTTCCTGCCCTGAGAGTCAGCATGCCAGTGGCCTTGGCTCTAAGCCTCTCCACCACCTTCCCTGTCTAAAGATTGCCTCAATATCTGTTGAGAGAAATTTTCTAGACTACTAGTAGATCAATGACGAAATTATATATAAAAAATTCTAGTCAGGGGTCGGTAAATTACAACCCATGGACCAAATCCAGCCTGCCACCTGTTTTTATAAATTAAATTTTATTTGAACACAGCCATGTCCTTTTGCTTCTATATTACCTGTGGTTGCTTTTGAGCTATAACACCTAGTAGAGTAGTTATGAAACAGACCATCTGGTTCATGAAATGTAACATTTAGTATCTGGCCTTTGACAGAAAAAGATTGCCCTCTTCTATTCTAGATCAAGAATTGACAAGACAAAGTCCAGAAAAACAGTTGTTACAAAACTAACAGCAACCACCTGGAGGATGAAAAAGCATCTTAAAAAAAAAAAAGTTTATTTTCAGAGAGAGAGAGAGAGAGAGAGAGAGAGAGAGAGAATGTGCCCTAGCTGGAGAGGGGCAGAGAGAAAGAGAGACAGAGACAGACAGAGAGAGAGAGAGAGAGAGAAAATCACAAGCAGGCTCTGCACTATCAGTGTGGAGCCCGATTGAAGGCTTGAACTCATGAACTTGCGAGATAGATCACACAACCTGAGCCAAAATCAAGAGTCGGACGTTTAACCTATTGAGCCATCCAGGCACCCCAGGATGAAAAAGCATCCTGTTCTTCCATTTGTGAGTTGTACCTACTGCTTATTAACAGAATTTTTCTGATACTCAAATGTTTTACATAAGCTCTTGCTATTAAAATATGTGGCAGAAGTCAAGTATCAATACACAGATAAATACTTAAAAAAAATTATCATCCAGATCATAACAATTTCATGAAGCAGCTCCTGACAAGGTAATTAAGTAGCATGCGGTCCGGGTCCCCTTCCCCAACCTCAATCAGCCCTGGAGAAACGTGGAGTGAAGTATCGGTTCCAGGAACTAGACAAAACCCAAAAACAAACAAGCAAACAAACAGGTGTCGAGAATATCCTCGTGAGATATTCTTGGGAAGACTGAAGGTGATCTCAAAACTGCCTCAAATTCCAAACACTCATCATACAAATTCTGTCCTTTAAGGATGATCCAATAAAGTCAGAAATTTAAAAAAAGAAAAAGATGGCTAAAAATCAATCCCATATATTTGAAAATTAAACATTACTAACGCTTAGGTCAAACAGGAAGTCATCAAAGGCATTAAAGAAATAATACACTCAGAGGCACTTGGGTGGCTCAGTTGGTTAAGCGTCCGACTCTTGATTTTGGCTCCAGTCATGATCTCACGGTTTGTGGGAACAAGGTCCACATTGGGCTCCGTGCTGACAGCATAGAGCCTGCTTGGGATTCTATCTGTCCTCTCTCTCTGCCCCTCCCTCTACTCGTGCGGGTGCATGCGCTCTCTCTCAAAATAAATAAACATTAAAAATAAATAAATTAGATCTCAAACAACCGAATTTTACACCTTGAGGAGTTAGAAAAAAAAAAAGAGCTAGGCCCAAAGTTAGCAGAAGGAAGAAAGTAACAAAGATCAGAAGAAAACAGAGACCAGAAAACAATAGAAAAGAGAGAGATTAAGAGCTGATTCTTTGAAAAGATAAACAAAACTGACAAACCTTTAGCTAGACTAAGAAAAAAAAGAGAGAAGACTCAAATAAAATTAGAAATCAAAGAGGAGACATTAAAACATACTACAGGGGCGCCTGGGTGGCTCAGTTGAACATCTGACTTTGGCTCGGGTCATGATCTTGCAGTTCGTGAGTCGAGCCCCGCATCAGGCTCTGTGCTAACAGCTCTGAGCCTGGAGCCTGCTTCAGATTCCGTGTGCCCCTCTCTCTCCACCCCGCCCCTGGGTGCTCTGTCTCTCTCTGTCTTTCAAAAAGCCCTAAAAAAAAATTACATGCCTCTCCACAGAAATGCACTAGGATTATTGGGGGGCAGGGGTACGTTCAGTTGGTTGAGCATCCTTCAGTCAGGTGTGATCTCACAAGGTTCTGTGAGTTTGGGAGTCCCAATCAAGGCTTGCTGCTAGTCAACTACAGAGATTCTTCCAGTTCTGTCCCCCCGCCCCTCCCCTCCCCAGCTTGTGTTTTCTTTCTCTCTCCCTCTCTCTCTCAAAAATAAATAAAAACATTATAAGAAAAAAAAAAAGAAACAGAATAATGAAAGATCTATGAAAGATTATATGCCAACAAATTACATAACCTAGAAGAAATAGATATATTTCTAGAAACCTAAGACTGAATGAAAAAGAAACTGAAAATCTGAACAGACCAATAATGAATAAAGACATTGAATCAGTCATCAAAAAAAACCTCCCAACACTGAAAACTCCAGGACCAGATGGCTTCAATGGATAATTCTACCAAACATTTAAAGAATTAACACTAATCCTCCTGAAACTTTCAAAATATTGAAGGAACAGTTCCAAACACTATGAAACTAGCATCACTTTGATGCCAAAACCAGATAAGGATACCACAAGAAAATCAAAAGGTAGACAATATCTCTGATGAATACAGATGCAAAAATTCTCAACAAAACATTAGCAAATCGTACTCAAGAACACATTAAAAGGATTTATATACCACAACCAAATGGGATTTATCCCTGTGATGCAAGGTGGGTTCAACATATGCAAATCAATAAATGTAATATATCACATTAATAAAATGAAAATAAAAATCACATAATCATCTCGATACACAGGAAGCTTTTCACAAAATACAGCACCCTTTCATGATAAAAATCCTTCACAGACTGGGTGTAGTAGGAACATACCTCAGTGTTAATAAGGTCTCATAAACTCACAGCTAACATTATACTCAACGGTGATAAAATGAAAGCATTTCCTCTAAGATCAGGAACAAGACAAGGATGCCCACTCTCACCACTCCTATTCACTAGAGCACTGGAAGTCTTAGCTAGAGGAATTAGGCAAGACAAAGAAATAAACAGCATCCAAATTGGAAAAGAAGTAAAACTGTTGCTTTTTGCTGATGATACAATCTTATATATATATAGAAAATCCCAGAGATCAAAAAACTGTTGGAGTTATTAATCAATGATTTCAGTAGGGCAGCAGGATATACAATCAACATAGCAGAAATCAACTGCATTCCTTTACACCTGAAAAAGAAATTAAAAAAAAAAAACAAAACTATCCCATTCACAATAGCATCAAAAAAAAAAAAAAAAAAAAAAAAAAAAAAAAAAAAAAAAAAAATTAAAGGCTTAGTAATAAATTTAACCAAGGAAGTGAATGAAAATCTACAAGACTTTGCTGAAAGAAACTGAAGACACAAATGAATGGAGATACCCTAAGTTCATGGATCTGAAAAAGTTAATATTGTTATAATGGCCATACTACCCAAAACCATGTACAAGAGATTTAATGCAATCCCCATCAAAATACCAAAGGCATTTTTCAAAAAAAGAAGAAACAACCCTAGTATTTGTGGAGACCCAGAAGACCCTGAATAGCCAAAGCAATGCTGAGAAAAAAAGAACAAAGATGGAGGTATCATGCTTACAGATTTCAAACTATACTAGAAAGCCACAGTAATAAAAATAATACGGTACTGGCACAAAAAATAGATACAGTGACCAATAAAACAAAATAGAAAGCACATATCTTTCCATATATATAGTTAATTAATGTTTCAACTAATATTCAACAAGGGGCCAAGGATACCAATGGGGAAAGGATAGTCTCTTCAACAAACAGTGCTGAGGATGCTGTAAAAACACACACAGAACAATGAAATTGGACCATTATCGCACCTCCCGCACAAAAACTAACTTGAAATGAATGAAATACTTAAATGTAAGACATAAAACTCCTAGAAGAAAATGTAGAAAAAGCTCACTGATACTGGTCTTGGCAATGATTTTTTTTTAACATGATGCCAAAACCTCAAGCAACAAAAGCAAAAGTCAATAAATAGGACCACATCAAACTCAAAAGCTTCCTCTACATGGCGAAATTAACAAGAAGCAAAATGAAAAGACAGCCTACAGCACTGGAGAAAATGTTTACAAGCCATTTATCAGCCAAGAGGTTAATTTCCAAAATATGCAAAGTCAGTCAAGAAATGGAAGCCAACTATCATCACTGCTATTTAACATGGTATTGGGGGTCTGGCTAACCCGATCAAGAAAGAGATAGAGGGTGTAAGAGTGGGAACAAAATAGGTAAAATCATCTTTATTTGTGGATGATCAACTACGTAGAGAAATCAACAAATTACTGGAATAAGAGTTCCATAAGCTTGCCAGAGTCAAGATCAACTCATAAAAAAAGTAGTAACAGTTCTCTACGCCAACAAGCAACTAGAAACTATACTGGGCAATAAGTTGCCATTCAGAGTATCAGTGAAAACTATGACACACCTAAGAATTAATTAAGAATACTCAACATCTCAGTGGAGACCATTTTAAAAATCAATAAAGCCATAGAGGAGGAGATGAATAATTGGAAAGATACTCCATGATCTTAAAAAAATGGATGACTTCATATGTAAAAGCCATAAGTCCCCACAAAACTATTTGATTCATTTAACATGATCCTAATCAGGGATTCTACTTCCGAGTGGGATGGTCCTTTAGATCAGTGCTCTGAAAACAACTAGTAAAAGGGAATCAAACACAGATATCCTGATACAGATACCAACCACTCTTGCAGAGCCCCAATCTCCATCAACAGTTCTGCTAGCGGTCTTCCACCGAGGCAAGACCCAGACCCTCAGCTTCCCATCCGCCCGCCTAGAGTCTGCCAATGCTCCCAGGCAAAAGTGGCCACAAAAGTTAGCTCATTGCTTTCGGGTTCTACCCCAGTTCTGGTTCCCTTGTTCTTGTCCCAGGAACTGTAGTACCTTCAGAGAAATGACTTCTGTCTTTCACTGAACAAACATTTGTGAGTACCCACTGTGGGCTGAGCATTGTACTAAGTAGCAGGGATAGAGCAGTGAAGAAGGTGGGGTCCCTTCCCACCAAGAGATTTTAGGGATAGCTGGGAGCTCAATGAGGCACAGAAATAAGGCCTGAACCTCAAAAAGGATCGTTCGATGTTCCAGTAGAACGGCATCACAAAGGAACTGGAGAAAAGTTCACGAATCAATTCTCCTACCTGCAGTGCTTTTTGGGGAGCCTGTCAAGGGAGATGCTTCTGTTTCCACAGGGACACTTGAAAAACCTCTTTAGGCCGTCATGCCAGTGATAGTCGTGCTGCTCACTGACGCAGGTCTCCAAAGGCTTGAAGTGGGTGTAGGCACACTGCATGAAACCAACAGGAGGGCACATATCTGGTTAGGAGCTTGGGAGGAGAAACTGGCTAGCTGCTAGGAGGGCAATCTGTTCCATGAGGACTTCCCTTTTCTCACCACCAGCCAGAGAGCTGGGAGCAGAGAAACCACCTTAACTACTAGTTGTGAGGACCCCTGTGGTTTCTGGAGTCCCGCGTAATGATGCCACTTCCCCTCCTGTTGGCCACAAATGCTGGTCAGGCATCAAGTACATAATAACTTTCTGGAACATCAAGACAACAGTAAGGGAAGAACAAAAGCAGTGGAAACCTCAATAGCTTCATCGGGTCTGTCCTAAATTCTCTGCAGTTGCTCGGTTCTAGGATGACACTGGGGCCTCTTCAGTAGCCCTTTTGTTTCTTCTTAAAAGGCCTCAGAGAAGTACTTAAGATTATTCCTATTCGTCTTTCATAAGCAACAAAACCAAGACAGAGATATGAAGTCACTCACTTGTAATTTTGACCCTCAAAAGTGTTGAAGAGAATAGGGAACAACAAGCAGCATCGAGACTAAGGAACAGAATGTCCCCAGCACATGGGAAGCCCTCCCCGTGCCCTGTCTAGGCACTGCTCCACTCGCACCCCAGGGGTAATCACTACCCTACTTTTGAACAGCAAACATTGGTCTGCCTGGTTTTGTACTTTGTATAAATGGAACTGTAGGATACATTAAAAAAAAAAAAAAA